GTACTATTCAAACGTCTCCGCTTATTGTACACTAGTTTGGTATTACCAGAGTAAACCCATAATTAAAAAGGTAAACGAGCTATTTATGTCTAAAGATTCCAATGAAAGTAGAAAGATGTGAAACTCTTTAAGATCCTATTACGAATAGATTTGTGTTTAAGATCGTTAACCATCTAATTGTTCTGAGAGGATAAACAAAATAGGACATTTTTTTTCTATCCATTCTCTATATTGCCGTGTCCACTACCCTATAAGATAGCTAAATTAAAACTTGCCAATTGTGACTTCACTTATAGACGAAATGCAGTTCTACTTCAGGTTAACTAGTTAAAGACAGTCCTGCCTAAAACGTGGACACACTACATGTCAGTGTCGTTACAAAATACTCAGGTGGCATATTATGTGTTCGTGTTTGCTTAAACAATACATTCAAAGTAAAATAAACATTACGTATGAGGTAGGTCAAGTGAAGACTAATCCTTTCTACAAGTATGTAACCATTACAATACCCTGTAGGAAAAGTAATTTATGTAAAGTGACGAAAAGAGCGCTTTTAGCATATTTTTCTAAGCGATTTCTGCACAAAAGTTTTGTACGGAATTCTTTGACTGTTGTTTAAAATTTGTTATTCAATGCTGCGGAAAATCTAATTTGAATATTTTACGTAATTATTGACAGAGTTATTTTTTAGTTCACGTTAACTTTATTAGAAAAGTGCAAGTTTATTTAGGTCCCGATTTAAGTGGAAGGATGGGTTATTTGTATAAATCTAAAAGCATCGCTGGCTCATTTGAAACTATCTCACGGTTTTAGATGTATTGAATTTACGGAATTTACAAAATAAAAATTACATATTTCACGTTCAAGTATAACAATTTTTTAATTAAATAAGATTTACTAATGTTTGGACATACTTTCACGACACGCAGCGATGCGGCAACTGCTTCTTATAAATATTTATCAGCTCTTACCGCAATGGTTTCTTTTATTCACAAATTAAGCGCATTACGTACATCTTTGCAATTAGTTGGAGGTCATTCAACCGCTGAATTATTTATGAGTTTACTTTTGTTCTCATTTTGCAGATATTTCGCATGAAAAGTTTTGTAAAGAAGTTAGACTCCCTTTTTCTGATCATAATTTTAAAAACCTACACTATAATAATACTTTTGTAGTAATAATTGAAATTAACGTTAGGTTAAAAAAATTGATTAATAACATTTTTTTTTTATTTATGTTTTAAAGTGCAATTTTATACAACATGTCAAATATACCCTGTTTAAAACTACAATCAAATTACAAAGGTGCATAAAAGAAGTTTTGCACTAGATTTTTTTTTCGCGTTACGTAATTCCGGTAGTTATTCACTTTGCATAGCGAATTACATTAACTTTATATTCGCAAACATCGATTCCTTGCGTCGGTTTTACCGTAACATGGACTATCTTTTACTTTCCACACCACATCTTGAATTTAAATCTCACGTTACGTGATATTTCTGTTATTTGGAAAGCGATGTCACAACAAACGGTTAGATTTTAAAATTATAGAATTTATGTAACGTTCTTTGTGCTATTTTGATCCTATGTAGAATAATTTATTTCGGATTAAATAAATATTATTTCGCGTCTAGTTTTTTTTAGAATAAGCAGTAAAAATAATTTGAAAAATGTTAAAATCATATATTATATGTATATCATATCTTACTAATATTATAAATGCGAAAGTTTAGATGGATGGATCTTTGTTAATGTTTGTAGTCTAAACGGCTGACGGATCTCGATGAAATTTGGCACAGGTTTAGATCATAGTCTGGAAGAACACATAAGCTACTTTTATCCCTGAAATAGTTACGGTTCCCGTGGGATTCTTTAATTTAGTTTTTTAATGTTTACTCGATCATTCTGCAACGGTTCAACATATCTTATGGAATTTTGGCACAGATGTAAAACAAACTCTGGAGTACAAATGGGGTAAGGTTCATCCCTATGAAATGTTCCATCCCCGAGGGATACGTAGCTTTTTGTTATTTATATAGTTCGTATGTTATCTAATGCCTAGCGGGCGAAGTCGCGGGCAACAACTAGTAATATACATAATTAAAAAAATAATTAAATAATTTTAAGGCTAACAATAATATAAAAATCCATTCATAGCTTTTCGTCTACTTAACGCGAGTGATCTTTTTCAGGTGGATTTTGAATTGAAAAAGTAAATACCAGTAATTCTCATATTCAATTTATTTTATCAGTGAAGTAAAACTTTGATAATAGGTGATTTGTAAAAGTATTTACTAATATGTCGATTCGGTAAATGGCTATTATACAGTGTTACGTTTTGTTTTCGTTCCCTAAGTTGTAAAAGAGAAAACATCGTGGGGAGAACCGCGTGGAATCGCCTATTGTATGAGTCTTGAGGCACGCGTTGTTACTGTTTTAGCTACATATATACTATTATTAAATTAATTATAACTAAAGTGAAATTATCGAATCATTACATAAATGTTTTCTTTATGTTTCGGAAGGTTTAAACCTGAATAAAATTGATAGGAACTTAAGAAAGCTTTTTGTAAAATTCATCTTTATTTTTATTTATCTCAGTATTTTGAGTCAAAGCTACACAAGACTGTTAGTATATAGGTTAATGCTCAAAATAATGATTTATTTTCATTAATATCATAAATGCGAAAGTTAAGACGGATGGATATTTCTAGGAGTTTGTAGTCTAAACTGCTGAACGGGAATCAATTAAATTTGGCATATATGTTGAGACAGCTCCAGACTATAGAATACATAGGCTATTTTGTTTTTTTAATTTCCCCACGGGCGGAGTCGGGTGAAAACTAGTACAACTAAAATCATGAAAAAAACAACTATGTTTCGGGAAACTAATCGCGTTTGAATATGATAAACACTTCCGACTTATCCAATGTATAAATTAAGTTACTCAACTTCCTATAAAACGTTCGTGTAACTTGACTGCATAAAATTAAATTAAGAAACTTATACCGTGATAAAATTTGGATAAC